AATAGTATACGGAGCTAACTCAAAATTCGAACCTGAATTGTATTAAGAATTCAGGAGTTACAGGCCAACTACAAAAACCATGTGTAGGCAGTGGAACTATACCTAGAGTTACTGGCTAACAACTCCAAAAATCGTGTGCCGTAAGGTAAAAGAAAATTTATCAAGCAAAAAATCGCGTTAGGAATGTTTCTCGATCCTTTACTCTGCATGCTTGTTATAATTATATATTTTAGGGGCGTAACCACCCTACAGTATTTCGAAGGCTAAATGGCTTTCTCCATCTTGTACGATTCCTATGCCAGTGAGTGGCAATATTTACAGTAAGAATCGAGCCCTTAATATATCAATCATTCGAGCATTTTGTTGTATCTTTTAGCTTCATACAGAGTATGAAAAACTTAAAGCAGAAAAAAACCCAGCTGTACCTGGGAGATCTCAAGGGGAGGGAAATTAGGTGCAACAGCTGTTGCGCTGGCACAGGTGAGACAGTGAATGAATCAATGATTTTATTTTTATAAAATGCACTATCTTTGCAGTAAATTTCTGGAGGTAAAAAACTGCAGTAGCGCGTGCTGAATAGTGACAATGCTAATATGACCAGTCAATCACTACAGCGTGAACTTGAAAGATTTTTTCTTCTCTTCACTTCATTGAAAATTTGAAACTGTATATATTTGGGTATAGATGGACAATCCAAGTGACTAATTATATATATGTACACTTTTTATACCTAACCAGGAACGGTTGCGAAAAATGCAACACTAGATGTCTAGATCCTCTCGCAGGAATCGAACCTGTGGCATATTTCGTTACTTAGATCATCCATCTACCCCAATAATCAATTACTACAACGCGTCTGGCCCTTGTAATATAATGCGGATTATGCGGCAATAGCAGGGTGGGCACTCGACGGACTAGATAGACCTTCTTCTGCTAACCGCCGCCCTAGATTTTTTGTTTCGAGGTTCTTTTTAACTTAGTTGTTTTCCTTTGTCAAACACAGGTTAATCCAGAGTTAGTGAATGACCGTGCAACGATAGATTTACTCAATACGCATCTTAACGTATTAATTGGGGCGATTGAAAAGAAAGATATGGTCCTAGCCGAGTTAGAACAGGAAAATTATAACTTGGCGAGGAAGATGGAAAATATGAAAAAACAGTGGGAAAACGAAATTGAAAAAAATGTGCAAACAAAATTAAAGTTGGAAGAGAGTAAAACAAAACGTGCTGACTTGAAGCACAAGTGTGATGCATTCTTCTCTCAAGTCGAAGGACTGCACCTTCAATTACAGCAATCTGAAGAAGACAATGGCGACTTACGCATCAAACTTCGAGACAGAGAAACTAGGATTCAAACATTGACTGATTCGGTAAGTATCATTATATAATATTCTCAGATATTACACAAAGAAAAGATTAGTTAGCAAGACGTAGTTTGGACATTGGAAATGTGGTAATAAAGTACAGTACGTAACCTTAAAATTAATTGAACCAACTTTAGAGACAAATTAGGATAATAAAAGGCCTTAATTATTTGTGTATATTAATTAAGGGACATGCATTTACTTCGCTTAATTGCTTGTCAGCCGCAAGTGCATGTAGTGTCAATCTAAAGTCTGCTAAACAGTAAATTAAGCGTTTCTCTTGAGCTTGTACACCGGCTCTAACAATTTTCCATGCTAGAACGACGTAACTTTTTTATTATCCTTAATTAATTCTTACTGTTTTTGGTAGAATGAACTGAGTGACACTTTAAGCTTCAATCCTTGATCATGCACCGTTGGCTGCGGTTCTATAGTGAAACCCTTTGGGCTTGGTTATTTGCCTCAGGATAGTGCCATCCCCTAGATAGAGATTTTTTCAATCGTTGTATAAAAACACTTTAAGAGCTACAAAAACCTCGGATATGGACCTCGCAATTAATAAAAATTTAATTTTTATATACTAATGTTGAATATGGGATATACTGACCAATCAACCGAGACATTTATACAATTTTAGAAAGCTTCAAATCAATGTCCGACTTTCCTGCAACGCCCATATAGTAAAAAAGTATAACAGATTACAATTGCACGCGATGTTTACAATTAGATTATTAATAAGTATTTTGTTTCATAATAACTTAGTTTAAGGACTATATAGTACTATCAAACGATAGCAATATGTTGCAAGATGCAAATTAAATAGAATTAATCACTGATAACCACTTGTGGGGCGGATTTCGATTCGAAGGAGTAATTTTTGGGTCTGGGAGGGTTAACATAACATAAGTTATATATAGTGTTCACTGAATGGGCTTTCTTTTTTTATATAGTTAGTATGTATAATAGATTTTTCATATTTGTAAATATTAAATTCTAACGGCCCCTTGAAAAGCAGTTTAAACTGAAGGGCTACCGTTTTTAAATAAGATGAATAGTAATAATAATAATTAATTTTCTCAAGCCAGCTACCTTTTATAGAACGTTAGATCTTTTCTTGTATGTGCAAGTATGTACTACACACTCAGACAACTGCATGTTTGTGTTTAAACATATTTTAGGCTGCAAGAAATTTGTCCGCAGCTATGGAACAGATCGAAGTGTTGCGGCAACAGGTCGCTGTATACGCTGAAGATTTTGCCAAGGAGCGGTCTGATCGGGAGCGGATTGAAGCTGAAGCTGAAGAAGAAAATAGAGCATTAGGCGAACAGGTAAGAGGGTCTATAGTTACAGTACAGGACACAGAGTTGACGTCAGCGCAATCGTCCATCATCCCAGAGATCGTGGGCTAGATTATCGCTGCGGGCTCATACATGACACTTCGTTAACGGAGTAAGTCAGTGCTCTATCTTCGCGGTTTTCGCGAGGTGCTCGGGTTTCCTTCTGTATGTTGACAAAGTGTGTTGAGATAAATTCCAAACTACCCCTTCAATCGTAGGCTCCAGTGGCGAAGCTAGCAATAGCAACTGGTCATGCTATGCAAATGTTAAATTATTTAAACCTTTAGGAATGTATTGTTTTTAGCCGATCTAAGACCCCGTTCTCATGCACGATACCGGCAGAGTTTGAAAGTGGAACGAAATTCTTACGTTTAGGGATTGCGTTCACACGATGCCGGTATGAAAAAATGTGAAACCGTAACGCTAACCGTAAGAGTTTGAAAACGGAACGAAATTCTACCGTCAGAGTGCCGTAACCATTACGGTTATGCAAAATGAAATTAACAAAACTGCAAAAGTTGTTGTTGGATATTTTATCCTGTCTATTTTAACTGATTTGTGCAGCATATTGTCAAAGCGGAATATAATCTGCCGGTATCGTGTGAACAGTTGAACCGTGATGATTTTCTGCCGGCATAATTGCATGCCGGTATCGTGTGAACGATGTCTAAATGTACGTTTATTAGCATACTCCATAGGAGGACCAGATGCCACGGCTAGCTTCGCCTCTGATCGTACTAGCTATGCTCCATGATCAGACATGGATCACACATGCAGTAGCGGCCAGAGGTGTTCGTATACTACGTCTTCGACTGCATGGATCCCTCTTAAATATAATGAAAATACAAAAAAGATATCTTCGAGTTGTATGTGTTTCAACTGTCAAAAATTAATCGGATCAAACATTTACTAGACATGAAAACAGTGCTCTTATTAATGGAAGTATTTGTATTCAGTAAATTATTTTATTGCTCAACAGTATATGGAGCAATACATCAAAACAGAGCATAAGAAAGCTGCAACTTAGTGCGGAATTTTGCTACTATGGTTGTTCTGGCTTCAAAAAATATTGCCATATTTCTGAGGGGTTATGATCACTGAAATGCGTAATGTAAGGGATATGCTGTCTCGAAAAATTTAATGATGCAGTTATGGTTCATAAGTGCCTTCATGGTGGAGTGCCAATAAATTTACACTTCGTTCTGGTGTACATAACAGAAATACAAGCCAAAGCGATAATTAAAATTAACCTAAATGTAAACTAACAACCAGACAAAGAATGTTCTCTTACAGAGGGGCAAAATTGTTTAATGATCCACTTCGCGATATCAAGAAAATTGAGAACACAAAGATTTTTAAGAAAAGACTACTAAGTTACCTTATTAGCAAGTAATCTATTAGCCTAACCTATTTTGGCCATTAAATTAACTATATATGTATATAGTATTTATCTGTTTGTAGCGGACGAGCCCTTTTTAGAGTAATGTTTCTTTGTCTATGTCTATGCACTTCGTAACTCAGTTCAGATCCTAGCTGCAAGTAAGGATGATTAGCACATTCCGCACTTACTTACTTCTTTCATAGAAGTTAAATCACCTTGTATGAAATATATACAAAATACAGACGGCTGCATTGTTATGTTTAAAAAATGTTTTAGGCTGCAATGAATTTGTCCACAGCTACAGAAGAGAATGAGGTGTTGAGGCACCAGATTGAAGCTGACAGAGAGCGTCTCGTAGACTTGGAAGAAGAGATCGTGGCATTAAGGCAACAGGTAAGAGGGTTTAATTACATTGAGCAGTTGTCTGCGCAAGCGCCCTTTTCACCGGCGATCGTGGGCTCAATTATTACTGCGGACTTACGACACGTATATATGATTGAAAAGAGTCAATCAACGTCATACCAAAAGTCTTTGGTTTCTTTCTAAGTTGACAACGTGTGTTGAGATTAATCTCCAAACTAACCCCCTTCATCGTATGGCTATACTCCGTGATCAGTCACGAAGCAAACAGTGGTTGCCAGAGGCACTCTTAGTAAGCCGCTGACTGGATCATGTTCAACTCCATCCTTCGTAATTCACGCAATCAAGTTATCATTAATTTACAGCTTATGATAGTAAGTCTGGCAAGGTTCTGTATTGTTGTGTTGTGTTGTGTTGTGTTGATTTTGTTATATAACCTCGACCTGGAGAACTAAGTCATGTATTCAACATTCGCCGGGGCGCGCAAACGTATTTAGTTCATGATTGTGGAGCTTTTGTTACAAAACAGATTCTGGTTGAGCATACGCACTTTATATGCTACAATGTGGTTGAGCATGTGCGCGTTTTCATTTAACTTCCCACAGGTGAAGCAGCATATATTTTGTATCAGTTCCCTGAGTATGGCCGTGCGAGATATTTGGGTGTTCAATTATCCTGCTAGTCCTCGGATGCCAGATGATAGATACTCAGACGCATTCAGTGGATGGTGGAGTTTGACGGGCCTCAGGCATGGCTGATAGTCTCTTTCTCGTCTAGAGACGTGCCGCGTTTATCTACACGCTTTTAGTAATTTTATTAATTAGAAATAGCTGTAAAGAATACCTCTACACACTGTTAAACGAAACTTTGCGGCTTTCCTCGTGTTTTGCGAAACGGCAGCTTCGTATATTACCAATATATGCTCGTCTGCATCAACCGGAACGAAACGGGAAGCCGTTTTGTTTTTTGTCTGGAGAGGAATATTGCAAGGATAGCCGATATCAAACAAAACCAACACAATCATGAACTAAATACATTTATTATTCTAAATATAGAAAATTATAATCTTGTTGTCTTTATATTATAGGCAAGACGTGCATTAAGGATTGGGCAACCGGTTGTCTTACCTGCTCATGAGGTAAGCCTGTTTCCTTAAAATCTGTATAGACCCATTGCATTGACGTCACAAATCCTTAGAGTGTCCTCCAGAGTCCAGATGCTCCCTAACAATATCTGTTCGGGTACAACAACCACATACAGCGCATAAATTAACCATTTTAATACAAAATTATTATAAAGTTTTACAAAATTTGCTTTGTTTACAAAAGTTATATTATGGATAGATTGCAAATTTGTCCTCCAGATGCAGCGGTACCGGCGCTGTGACGTCATGTGCAATGGGTATATACAGTACTTTGAAAACTACTACTTCTTGTCTACTACTTCTTGTCTACTACTTGACAGATTTTTTTCTCTGCTGAGCTAGGGTCACCAAATGCTGTTTTTCTATCGAATTGCTCAGTAGCTAACTAAATCATGGTTATATATTTCTATGACCATACTGGTTCGGTCAGGCTTCATTACCCTTTCTCATGCATGCGAGCCCATACCCGCCATCAGAGAATTTAGTCAATCTAGACAATGTGACAAGCGACTTTTCAAAGTTGTAACTGTAAATTTACCATTTATCCACACACAACTACAGTGATAAAAAGTCGCATTTCGCGGTGCTGTTATACTGTAGACACTCTCAAACTTGGGAGAGGCCAGACCGGTACTGCTGGATTGAGAAGATCCAACTACCTGAAAAATACAAGTAAGGCCGAACGAAGGGCCTTTGCCCGAAACATCGAAGTTTTACCTGTATTTTTCAGGTAAGTGAATCCCTCTCAATCCGCAGCTTTCTGGTGTTATTATCACTATAGCTACGCTGGCACAGATCGTTCGAATTCTTATTTGGTGGCCTCACAATCTTGTGTTTTACAGGAAATGCCTGCTGTACTGGAATGATGCGCACATGCATGAATCACATATACCCACAAGACTACGGTGCCATCTTTGAGGCGGAAAGGTTTTTTAGTCGATAATAGAACTTTTTGTGTGGAAGCACATAAAATATACTCATAGCCACTCCAAATAAGTTTTAGTTCCCTTTCCGACCTCTCTCACATGAATGCATCCAGCGAGCGGCCCAAAGACAAATTTAGCTAATGTTTACATCGTTGCTACCCAATTCACAATTTTACAACCTTTAGAAATCGCCTTATGTTATAATTTGAAGATCTATTCTAAAACTACACCCGAGTGACAGACGAGTATAGATTAGCAACAGACGACTACGACGAGTAACAGACTGCTACAGACGAGTAACTTTTCTAAATACGACTATTAAACAGCATTTTGATGGATTGTTTTTAATAAATGATGCAATATTTTTTAAAATGGCGATTGGGCACAGCAGTATGTGAGATTTCTGTCTTTAGCCGCTATGGTATGTGGTGAGAGGTGAGAACTGTACTACTACTAGAAAATATACATGCATGCAGAAACCCTCGCCTTGCTGAAAAAATGATTGTATTTTCCGAAAATGAAGTATCTAATGTAGTTGTCATGGTGACACGATAATTTTTCAAGAATATTCTTGCAAATGAAAAATCGCCTAAAAATATCACTTTTAATTACAAAATTATCAATTTCCCAACATATATATGTTAGGTATGTTATTATACGTAATATATAAGCCTCAATTTAAGGTACAATTCAACCACAAACGCTTCGCAAAGCGTTTTAAAGTGTTCTTTATAAAACTAAACTGCCTTTCATTAAATGGTTTTATCGATAAACTTTGAGTTTGCAATAAAATTATTTCAAATTCTCGTTTGCAAATAACTTTGCTTTCTTTTTTATTTAAAAAATTCAATATAATAAAAAACGGAATCAATATTAATAATACACTGAAATTATATGCTGTCTTGTTTTAGCTGTTTCATATACCTCGGCTGTTTCATATACGCAAAGGCCGTCGGGTTTTAAAGGGTCTTTAAATCCATTATAAAATCAATATTTAAAACAAACTTACCTTCGTTAACGTCGGCTCCCTTCTTTTAGCCGATTCTTTCGCCCTTTCTTTCTTGAAATTTACAAAATCTTGCAAAAATGCGAGCAAAAATGAACTATATTTGCAAGAGATTTATCAATCATCAAATCAAGAAATGTTCGCTATTTCGCTGTCGTCATGCAGTCATTATAATGCAAGCTTTAAATTGGACCAATCAATGTCCGCTATTCATGACAGTCCGCCATATTTTTGAGATCAGTGAGGATGACCACCCATCGTTGGTGACCCACGCCCGCGATAATTGATGAACTTTAGACTTCGCTAATGCTTTCTTTTCCCCGGGTGTGAATAGCCGGGGGGGAATTAGTACCCTCGCACGGCGCTTCGCGCCGTCGGCTCGGGGATAATCATACTATAAAGGTACTTTATGTCGTTGAGCAAAGTATTAAATTCATGGGTTTCAATCACGTGATATTTTCGTAGCATAATTTTACTCAAGTGGGGTACACAAGTACGATCCAAACTGACCGAAAATTACAAATAATTTTATGATTATAGTAGTACAGTTCTCACCTTCACATACAATAGCGGCTAAAGACAGAAATCTCGCATACTGTAGTCGCCATTTACCATTTTGAAAAATATTGCATCATTCATCCGTAAAAATGTTGTTTAATATTCGTATTTAGAAACTTTACTCTTCCGTACTCGTCCGTACTCGTCCACCACTCGTCTGTACTCGTCTATTATTCGCCTGTACTCGTCTGTTACTCTCACTGATCTGAAATAAGACCGCCATAAGCCTCATTAAGTGGTTCGTATAAAACGTTCTAAAACTACTTCGAAGAGGTTTTGGAAGCTATATTTCATAAGTTAAATATAGGCGAAGATATTTGCTTTATAGTCTAACTGAGCTTAAACAGCAAAGGATTAGACTGCTCATGAATTTGACTAATTTATAAATCTCATCTCATTAAAATATTCTGGCTTCAAAATAGGATTACTTGAATTCAATAGGATGCTTTATCCAGTTTTATTTCACATCAATGGTTACTCTTCTGTACTCGTCTGTCACTCGGGTGTAGTTTTAGAATAGATCAAAATTTGGAGGCGTGGGCTATGGATGGGAAACTAAAGTTTAATTTGGAATGGTCTAATTTGCACTAAATGTGTGAAATTATTTAAAATTATTACAGTATTCAAAATACTTCCGCAATATGTACGTACGTCACGTAATATAAAGTTTAAATATTACAAGCATATGAGACGAAAATTACGTTAATTTAATTATAGTTTACTGGAAGTAGCTTTTCAAATATTATAGTTTTATATCTCTTACAATTTTTCATCTTTTTCCATTATCAAATTGATATTGCTTATGCAGCTCATGCACTGATCTGAAAACGAAAACTGGATAGTTGAATCAATCTACTGTGTTGTTGTTGACATGTTACAAGAGGACTGTGCTGTTTCTGGTTATGAGCGTGAAACGACAGGTCTTATCCATTGAACTATAAGTAAACTGGAACGATAAATTCGCCGCCATCTTTGAAGCTAGACTTGCTCCAAGTCTCTCTTTAATTGTCATATAGTATCGATCCACTATAGTTTACATTACATGACGTAGTACGGAGGGGCGGAGCGAGAAAGAGAGACTTGTCAACTTGGGAAAATCTCTGTTCAAAACTGAACCGAAAATGCAAGACTTGCTTTAATTGTTTTCCTTCAATTTCTTTCTGTATTATTTACTATAATGGAACTCATGTTATTTACACTGTGCTAGATCAATACATATAAACACTGACAGAAAACAATTAAAGCAAGTCTTGCATTTTCGGGTCAGTTTTGAACCGAGATTTTCCGAAGTTGACAAGTCTCTCTTTCTCGCTCCGCCTCTCGGTGCTACGTCATGTAATGTACACTATAGTGGATCGATATGACAATGAAAGAGAGACTTGGAGCAAGTCTATCTTTGAAGTCGGTCATGAGTGTTTTCTGCAGGTAGCCCCAGTCCTTTTTTACAAAAAGGATGCGAAAAATACAGCTTAAAATCGTTAATATTTTCTCATTTTTACTTTTTTCAAGACATTTATATTTATCCTAGAGAAAACATAGACAACACAACTTTTATCTAAGGCACATAAAATAAGCAAATATTGTTTAACTGCCAAAATATGAAACAAACAAAACGAAACTCGGCAATAAACCGCGCGAAAATTTATGGTTTTTCTGAGTTTTTAGACTTTCCAGAAAGACTTCAGAGACAAAATTATACAATTTATGTAGAAAAATCTTAGATACGGTTGTTAATGGAGTTCAAACATCCAGAAACGTACTTTAGTAAGTTAAAATTAAGGATTAAATTAGTAAAAATACATCGTAAAAATTTTTGTGTATTTATTTTCGTATACATATACCTGCGAACAGGCTGTACTTAAGCGCCTGAAATCTGGCTTCACCCAAACAAAGGCCTTTATCATAGGAGTTATCGTTCCAGTTTACTTATATATAGTTCAATGATCTTATCTTGAAAGGAATTGGTGACCAGCAGTCCCTCTTTCCTCGTAAAATGGCCTCGTAAACTTGCTCGCTGATTTCATATGGTGCACTGTCCAGTTTAGTTTTCAGATCAGTGGTGCAGCTATAGTTCTGTCCAATAAAATAATAATTAGAGTAATTTAATTTCCGTGCCATATGCCTAACTGTATAAAGTACGAGCAGCCGATCTGTATCTGATTAGAAAGTAAATCTGAATCATTTACACAGCGAATGCGAATGCTTTATATTACTTAAAATAAAAATACACCTATATAAACATTATGTACCAATATAAAGATTGAATAAACATTATTTTCTTTTGAATTTTTATTATGAATTGTTAATGTG